CCATGCATAATGATGATGGTGACTACGATGCATAATGATGATGGTGACTACAATGCATAATGATGATGGTGACTACGATGCATAATGATGATGGTGACTACGATGTATAATTAACGAAATTTACCTTTTGCGCGACTAATTTGTGATAAAGAGCGAAATTTACATAGCTTGATATCTTAGGAGTTTTCGTGCCTTCTTTTTTCTTCTTTCTTTTTCCTACTTTAATTATCAGTTATTCATTTTGTTACATAAGATGTCCGGATCCTTTAGCGTAGGTACAGTGTTTACGTGCGAACATCGCTAAACCATGTATTACAGTTTGTCATTTGCACGTGTATTGTCTCAAAATATGCTGTTAATATTTGCTTTCAGGTAGCGAAATTAATGCGCTTGGCGCAGGTTTCCATTTACTCTATTGGGAATGGCTTCATAAGACAGGTGTACTGTTTATCTCACGTTGCCTTCATTGAGCCACAGTCGTTATCACGTGTCTATGGGGTTGTTTTTCGGTGTCAGCATTGCTTCACTCGCACAGCTGTATCAGTCTTGAATTACTTTTTCCGCTTGCTAAACTACCCTAGCGATACCTTAACTTCTAGACATGAATTAAATTACACGTCACCTTACGACTTCGTTAAGTTATCCTGCAACTGAACTGATGATAACAGACCAACTAATTGGCCGGAGGGAATTATCTTGATGTGAAACCAAACTCTTCTGTCTAGTTCACTATGAAATATCAGAAGTTAGGATTATCCGTCGAGTATTGAGAATTAGCATAAACTAAGAAGATGTAATCTTTTGTTTATATTAAACCAGTGGTTAGCGTTTAAAGCGCACTCAGATTGGCAACTCAAACCTCGCATATCCTTTGCTAGTCATCTCCGAGCAACTCTCGCGGGATTTGCGTCTGAAAACATTTCAATCGTTGCAGGAAAAAAATTAGTTTGTCATCTTTTCGCGTTATTTCACTGTTTTAGTATTTACTAAAACAACCACTAGCCACTTCCATTTTGGAATACACTTGTCGATGAGACGGTTACGGTGATGAAATATCGGTCAAAGGCTTATTAAGCACGGCGTACCTTGCATTTTGAAAGAAACAGAAGTTCCTTTCCTGTGTTATTATAATCAGTTTTCCTGAGCAGGAACAACTAATCGGTCAGTGACCGTGTGCCAACCGAGTGAATTGGTAAACGAAATTGGCGGGAGAAACACAGCAACCGAAGTCTTCTTTATCTTGTCACGAAAGGAATTTACAAGTTGGTGTTTCCGAATTTGAGTTAAATCCGACTTTGAATCTTCTTCAAGTAGTACAAACTCTGAAAAGAAGAGAGTCAATCACTATCGAGGGGTTCTGTTTATCCTTTTATATCCCAAGATCTAATCGTCAATTCTCCCCTCTAGCTGCCACATATTCCCTGTAAATTAGTTACGAGAATCTTGTGTTGGACCAAGATACCAATTACCTCACTCCTCTCTATCAAGCGCGTGTATTACGCCCGCTCAATGTACATGTCACGTTTTGAATAAAATTTGAATTTAAAGATGTTTTTCAATCCAAGTTGCGATACCACCTGTTCTGAGTGACAATTTCGATTTATGTCTAGACAAGTCCCGCCTTTTGGTTCGGAAATAATAAAAACGCGGGTCTTGTGCTTCGGTTCAGTATCCAATTCTTATCAAGATTTCGTCTCGCAAGGCCATATTCTCAGTTCACAAGGTAACTTTAGGCATTTCGTGCAGTATATTTTCCGTATGCCTTCCCCTTTACGTTTTGAAATGATTTCTTAAAACTTCCTTATGGTTAGTTGGGGGTAACGCTATTATTTTTGGATAGATGTGAATGATTGGAGTAATAATGCGAGCCCGATATTTAAACCGTAGATGGATTTTAGGTCGTAATCTTTTTTTTTTTTTTGTATTCCGGTAGCAAACACGTTTCCCCATATTAAGGACAATATTTAACTCAAATGACGTTCAACTCAAAAAAACATTGCATTTTTCCTACATTTCAGATAGAAACGGAATTAAAGTCCTTTTACAAGACATCATCAAGACTGTAAGGAAACACAAACATCTGAACTCGTGAAATGGAAAGGGCGCTGGTAACATGTCACGCGCGCTTGAAAGAGCAGCTGTCACAAAAAGCCGATCAACATGAAAGTCTGCAAAAAGCGAACAGTCAACATAGTCAAGTCGAACGGCTTTTTCCAGAATTTTTCTCCGGTTGCAACGAACCACGTTTCAAAGAAAGCTGCAAAGACAAGGCTTACACGCATTCGAAGGCGGAACAAGGGCTCGACCCGTTGATTCAGTCGTGGTTGAGCTTATATGGTGGGAACGCATGCGTCCATTAAACATCACTTTTCCACGTTTTCATGAAAGAACAATTCTAAGACTACTTGTCTTTTTTAGGCAGAACAGAGACAGTGACAACAAAAATACTCTGAAACTTCTGAGCGGACGAGAGAATAATTCTGAGATCTCAGTTTTTATTAAGGTTTCATGATAAGAGATGTATTTCCATCACCAAATTGACTAATATACCTCGAGGTTACAAAACAATATACAGGAGTGAAATTAATTTTCACACTTTTTTTAAGGCACTTTTAGTTTGTCATGAAATGACACTAGATCTGTGCACACCTATCGTTTTCTCAGAAATATTTTTTAAAATTTGTCCCTAATTTCGATCACTTTAGAGAAGTAGGTTGAATTAAGTCTGTTATGTTTATGATGTTTTCTGCTTAAGTTCACTTACGTTCAGGTGAAAAAGATTTTGATGTAAAGTGAAATCGAGACTGTTAATTCATTAAAGATCTCGACTCAGAATTTTTCTTCAAACGTTGCACATTTAACTTCAGTGAGCTGGTTGTTGTAAAGTATTCTGTTATTGTTTCCTTCTCTCAGTTGGAAGTACAGGGGTACAAGGTAGTTTTCAAGTGGCGATTTATTGTTTTCACCGGAACTCTTAAAATAGAAGTTCAAAAGCTAACGCTAGTGTTTTGCTGTTTTCGTGCAGATCGTCAAGATTATATGTCAAATGAATAGATGAAATTGAATCCGCGTAAAAAATCAGTTTTGATATAATCAAATTACCCGCTGGCAAAAACCCGTCTGTTTTGATAAATTTGGGTTCAGTTTTAAACAGTTTGTCTTGTTGTTTACGACTTTCATCACAAAGCATCGGCAGCAAACTGATTGCCCTTCACTATTCTCTTTGCTAAAACTTTCGACAAGGTTTTCACTTAGACCGAACTGTATTTTGATTGGCATAAGCTGCCCATGCTTCAATTTTTTTTCCCACAAAATTGATGAAATTCTTCTGGAAAATATGTTATGAGGCGTGAATTGAAAAGGACAAACGTGAAATTAAATTCAAGTGGAGTCTGAAATCATCAGAAATGATGTTTAGGCATCCGGTGCCTAATTTCGGTTATAGCTTCGGCAAAGGTTAGAGTTGAATCGCGGCATGTTAATGGTGTAAGTGGGAAGCGAGACGAGGGTAATTCTGGTCAGATTTAATCAGTAAACGTAAATATTTCCGAACCGTGCGGTCAGAGCGATCAGAGCTCAAAGGCGAGAGGGTGAATGTGTTTGTTACTAACAACCTTGTACAGGGAAACGCACAGCGTGACTTTTCAGCCATTAAGGCCTGGCTAAACTAGGAAACTTTGTTGCGGAGGCAAATGTTTCCCAGTTTAGCCGCGTGGGAAACACATGTTGCGGAAACAAATTTTGCTACTCGGAAACAAAAATTGTTTTTGCCTGCAGACAAAAACATTTTTGTTTCCAGGACACAAATTTTGCGTCCGAAACATATGTTTCCCAGTTTGGCCACGATGTAAACAATGTTGATTAATTTCCAGTGCCGCTCGCACATTGAAAAATGTTTCATAGCAAAGGCGAGCAGACAACAATTAAAATGGCTGACGGCGAAGAAATTCAAGCAGGTCACCCTCAAAGAAAGGGAAAGGGAAGGGAAAGGAATTGGAAAGATGAAGAAATTGAAATGCTAATTATGCTGTATGAGGAAAGGCCTTGTCTCTGGGACGTGGGTCATAAGGACTAAATGAACAGGGACAGTAAGGAGGTGGCGTATTCGCAAATCGATCTACTGATGACAGAAAATATTATATCAGCCGCGAGGATTACAAGAGCAAGTGGAAAATTATCAGGTCACAATTTATGAGGGAGCAGGCCCTGGAAAGAAAAAAGAAGTCCGGTCAACAAACAAACGATGTGTACCACTCCTCTTCGAAGTGGTACAAGATGCTAAAGCTCCTTATTATTGTGCAGAATGCCACAAAGGGATTTGACACAATGAAAATGAGAACATCCTTTGATCCCCACGCTTCCTCGAAGTCAGTTTATTCATACGCGCACGCGTAGCTCATTTGTTTTCCGAAACAATGTTTCCTCGTTTAGCCACTGGGGCAGCAAAACATTTTTTTTGTTTCCTGCTAATTAGCCACCCCAGGAAACATAACAGGAAACAATGTTTCCGCAACAAAGTTTCCTAGTTTAGCCAGGCCCTTAGATAAGTTACATAAAATCTGAATGTTAAGCTTTCCCGCACAACACCCTAGTTAAACACTGGTCGCAGTGATGAAAAGTTCTTATGGTACAATTCATTAAAAAATCGGTGAAGGTAAGGGACTGTTTCTTTCAACTGATCAGCTGTTAAATTAAATTCCCTCCGGCCTCGGGTTCTAAACAATAAAAGATGATATTAAACTTTCAAACCGACGCATATACTGATCAGTTATTACTTTTGGAACCAACATATTTTCCATTTAAACAATATTCGAGCTTCCCCTCTCATTCTAACTAAATTTATCATGAATATTCTGCATTTATTCAATCAAATACCGCTCTTCACTCATGATGATGAACTTTGTTTTGTTCGTATATTGCGACCTCAGAGTAACTGAAACAGGAAATGTTTTAAAAGTTGTCAGGAAGATAGAAACTAACACGTCATGTGTAGGTGGAAACTCAATAGTTAGTGGAAATCTTGCTGTAACATTGATTTTCTATGGAGGATGTGGCATCGTCGATTCCGGGATTTACGGATCATTGCGTGTACAGTATCTTAATATTCCACGAGAGCAATTTTTGATATTGGGTGTCGAAATCACTCAGGATTTCTATGGTTTTTCTATGGATCGGAAGAAAAAAAAAACATCAAACCACCTCACCCTGTCAACCAGTCAGATGCAAAATAAAACCACACGTGACCTAGTCTTACGCATTTTCCCGCCCTTAAGGCAAGTTTGCCTGTTTTTCCTTTGAGCACCCATTGGTTAATGATGATGTAAGCCTCTTGTCTGATTGGACCGTGTGATCACCCTGGTTTGGTTTGTCAACACGCAATTGAAAACTGCTCCAGCATCTGTTAGTGGTTCGAATTTGTTCGATGATATTCACTGCCAGTCTTAAAGTGTCTCTTCGACTTTTAAACCTATTTTACAAACATTTTTATTACGTAAAATTACACTTTCCCTGAGATGTTTTTTACAAGAGGCAAACGCCTGTTACTGATTTAGCAGCTTTTTCATACTTCTAGCCATTTTCCTTATTTTTTTCCCTGCCTTTTCTCAGAGATCGTTCAACTTCACCGCCGGTGGACTTAATGGGAACTTCCACTCTTTTGACAGTAGCCCTCAAAATGTTCCAAATGATGCTATATTGCTTGCTGATGCTAAATATATCAGAGCCGGAGTACTCTTCAAGCGAAGAAAGAGACAGGAAAGTTAAAAAGAAGGTGAAGAACGTGGAGAAGCGTCAGGTTTTAATTCTCATTGAAAATGTCGACCGCCGATTGAACACTTCATGGTGCTTATGGCTCCCACTGATGGGGAAGATCTGTGACATATTCACTAAAAATTTCTCCAGACGACAGCAATAAAGCATCAACAAGAGTGAAACACTACACTGTGAGTGCACCGAGCAACCATTACGCGTCAGTAGCTCAGGGTGCATTGCGCGCCAATCAAGATGGCGGCCGCGGGAAATTCGAAGTGACTGTTAGACCTTTCTTTGAAAAAAATAAGATCGCCTGATTAGGCAATGTTTGTGTGTGCCAGATCTATTAATAGGTACTTTTGGAACATTTTGAGTGTTACTTGTAAAAAGAATTGAGGTTCCCTTTAAAGTACCTGGATGTGTCACGGCATTCTGCGCGATGTTCTGTTGCTTAACTCAGTGTTTGTTCCGTTTGATTTCGATCGCAGAGCCACAATATTTGCCGATTAGAATCTGAGATAGAGATAATAAAATACTTAAGTTTCGTTGTGTACTTTCCCTTAAAACGTTCCTCCCTGAATTGCTCCACAAGGGTCACAGGGTACCCACGCATAGTACGAGGTGAACGCGGTTGTTTGTGCAAAGCATGGAAACAGGACAGCCGGACATTTTAAGATCTCATGAAAAGACACTTGTTTGTCGTCGTGGCTGAATTAAGATTCCTGGTCTCGCACGAGCTGCGATAAAGAGCACTGACTCGAAGATTGCGAATAGCCCCGTTCTAAAAGATTTCCTTCCCAAAAAAGAAAACATGCATTCCCTTGAATAGCATTTTCGAAAAGCTTACTTTTAGGTAAAAATCTTTTCCAGCGTTATGTTGACAAGGTAAAGTTATTTTATGCTCCAGTTTAAATTTTAATTTTCATAGACCCCTGTCTGCAGAGTATAACAGATAGCCGCACGATTTTTTCCTTTCAGTCTTACCATACTGCATTTCACATGGCAGAATCACCTTTGCACGCACGACTCGTCGTTCTGCCCTTTTATACAGACTGGCACAGCCCTGAAATGGGTCTGTAACACGGAAACCAACTTCCATACTGCTGGTAAGACGTGATTATGGTGTCAATGAGTTTAAAGCATGTTATTAATGTGGTCTTTAAATAAAAAATGACTCTAGTTTGCGGCTTTTATACACCTACCTGTTTACGTTCAAAATATTTACGACGAGGTTTTCAATTGAAAAGCTTTCGCTTTCCAACATTTTTTCCTTTGGTAAGGAAGAAGTATCCTGCCAGCTGGTATTAATCCTGAACCGTTTAAAACGATTTTAAAGCACACACAATTTCTGTAATATCGTTGTGGTTCTAAACTTATAATACTATTTATCTTCCCTGCAACAGTCCACCCACATAGTCACGTAGACGTTTTCAACTGAAATATCGTATACACATTTGTTTTGTACACTACAGTTTTTACAGTTCTCGAATGTTTTGTGTTCCCACTATATGAGGTCAACAAATATTAAAGCGAAAATATGAAGTGTCTCGAAGTGTTGAAATCGTGTTGTTTGCTTTCAAAATCATGCTAAAATGATACTGCAATAAATTCCGAAATCACCGGGTTTCTAAATTTAGAATTAAAAAGTGATCATGGAAAGATCGGTAGAGACTAATTTAGGAAAACATTTCAAAAGAATTGATTTTTGATAAACTTTGTTTTGACGTTCAAATATGTCTATGAAAGGAAAAAGTAAAAAGATATGTACAAAACAAATGCACCTATTGACATCACTGGTTGAGCTAAAAGCTACTAAACATTTATATATTTCGCGTTTTTTTAGAACTTTAAGTAATTTAGGGGTAAGAAACTCTTGCGTTCTCAGTGCGAAAACAAGGAGGGTGTTTTTTTTTTAACTTATCAGAGTTATTTACGATTTTCGATATTTTCTTTTCAACCGTACTACGCGACTTCAATTGGTCATGGCTTACCGCTAAATAAATATTGATGAGGTTTGTGACGCTACAAGCTGCCGTAAATACTCAAGCTACATCTTAAATAGAGTGCTGCTATTGCAGCGACTCAGCTGTCTTACATCTGCGACATTGAA